TATCACAAGGAAGAAAGAGAAGCGTCCGAGACCAACCCTCGTGTCCGTAAAAAACTTCTGCTGCACAGCCTCAATATTGGTCATGACACGCACAATTGCCAAGTTGTCTGTGAAGGCCAGGGTGTATCCATTGTTGGATATAGGCCAAATTGTGGGATATCTCCCCGTGCTGGTCTTTAATATCATTGCCACCGACTTCATTAATTAAAAAGCAAAAGTGTGAAGTTCAGGGAGACAATGACAGCCTTTGATGCAACATCTGCAACAGTCATTGACGATACCGAAGATAAAACCGAGGCTGCTGCTATTCAGGCAAGGACAGTTGTTGACCTCGAACCTCCTAAGGTCAACAAGTGTAACTGCACACTGTTTAATGGCCGACGCTGCATCGAACAGTTCAACACTGCTGAGTCAAACAAAATAAGGTATGTACACGTACCTTTTCTATACCAATTTTTAAACAAACACGAGACAGTTTGAGGTAGTTTCTTAATAAACTCTTTGTTTTTTCCCTCCTTTTGTGTGGATATAGATACACTGTGGCCGAGTTGACTGAGTTTGAGAAAGATCTGCTATTGCTGGGAATCATCTCGACATCACTCAATGATAGCTCCACAAGAGCAAGGAGAAAACAAAAGAACGTTGATCAGAAACAGAGGCGCTTTAACTACGGACAGAAGAGGGTTTGTCATTACACCTTTTCCTACTTGATGGGAATTGGCCCGGAAAAATTTACCAATTTGAAGTGGTGGTATGAGATACATGGACTTGTTCCCTAAAGGAAAAAGTCAGGTAAAGGTTGTTTTTGTTAATGTTTTCTTCTTTTTTACAAAGTTCACCGTTATCAGGAAGTAGTGCAAGAACATTGATGCTCTACCTTATGTAGAGACATTGGTACATGCTGCTCACAAACTAAGGAAGAATCTACTGGATGCAGCAATCAAATAGCTTTTGCTGGACTTTAAAACCTTTTACATTTCACTTTCGCAACCGTGTAAAGTATACGTGGAGAAGTCAAATCATTAATTACAGTATCTATAATAACTAGTAGCTCCATTCGTTGACAGACTTGTACAGAGATAACAGTATGGCACTGTAAAACTGGAATTTCCCTGGATGAGGAATGCCATAAACTTACATACTGCAGGAAATCTAGGCTAGTTTCAATCAATGAGTTTGAACCTGAAGACAAAAAACTTTTGTCTTAGCGGTGTGGTGTTGCTTTCGCTGATGATGACCAGATCTGTTTTCTTAATGAAACCTTTATTTTTAATAAACCCAGTAGATGAAATATCAAATATCTATATTATGTTGTATGCCTTGTAGGGAACAATTGGGTGAGTTTGTTGGAACCTGGCTACATGTATTCCTCTTTAGTACTGTACTTATTATAATGCAGCTTGCAAATCAGGCGTGGGTCTAAAACCAGTTTTTTTTTCAGGGGACCTACTCCCAGGCTAAACCCTTCTTACGATGTGAGACACTCAGAACATCTTAATTGTTGTTGAGAGGGGGGTTATTTTCAGACCCTAAAAAACACAAGGATACTAAAAAAGGAGCTTTATGGGGG